TATCTTATCTGCCAGAAGACCACTGAATGCCTCAGGGTGTGGAGCTACTCAAAGTTCATTGAACTGATTTGGCTCTTCTCTTGTTTATATGCCATTGCATTAAAGTGATGTGCTATCTCGCAGCTTCAGATCACCTCCCACTTGTGGCATCTTAGCCTCAAAACTTCTATTTCGGGCCTTGTTAAAGTGATGTGCTATCTTGCAGCTTCAGATCACCTCCCACTTGTGACATCTTAGCCTCAAAACTTCTATTTCGGGCCTTTGTTTCCTGCTCTAAAGGGCTACTTTTACCTTGCGTAGACCTTGGATCTGATTTGTCTTAAGAATGATTGATTTTATTTGAGTCATTAACCTTTGTATTGGCAACTTCATCCCCTCTTGCTCCCTTCTGCCAGCCTGGTTCTTAAAACAAATAGTCTTTTGAGTGTGGAGAAACTTATCTGTAAATGTTCCACACTTGTGCAATCTGATCTAACTTCCACTAAAGTCAGTGGGAATCAAATCAGGGCCAAAGTACACTGGCTATGTAAATGCTCCTAGTCTGAGTAAAGGCATGTATGTGCTAGGACAGGGTTGGGAGATCTTTTTTGCATTGGGGGCCACTGACCCACAGCAAAAACAGTCGGGCACACATAGGCGAGAGGGAAAACAAAAGCAAAAACAAACCCTCCCTGATGTGGCCCCTGACCGAGAAGGAGAACGTCACTCCCCTTGCACACCAGAGCCTAAGGGACTCCAGCCTAGTAGATTTTGCATAGTCCAACCCCGCGGTGGGGTGGCAGGAGGCTGAAGTGCCAGTATGGTCTTCCTATTGCTGATGGGTGGCCCTAAGTATTGGGGGCCAGATCCAGGTGAACCAGGGCCACATCTGGCCCTGGACCTTAGGTTCCCCACCCCTATATTAGGAGATCAGAGTGAGTCCAAGGGAGATTTAACCAGCGGAGAATCAGGAGCATCTCACTGTTGAGCCACATTGGTGGGGTCCTGTGGGGAAACTTACATGTCACTGCCCAGATGTATTTTTGATTGCAGTGTTTTTGTAGCCATGTTGGTCCATGAATATCAGAGAGATAAGATGGGTGAGGTAATATCATGTATCGGACCAGCTTCTGTTGGTAAGAGACAAGTTTCTGAGCTGCCCTGAGGTCTTCTTTAGGTTGAAAGTGGGTCCAGTAAAAGACATTACCTCACCCACTTTTTCTCTCTCATGATGTATTTGTTCAACTGATAAATACAGGATGTCAGCCTCCAAGATGATCAGGAAGGCGTATGCTCACTTAAAAAAAAAATCACTGCACACCTTCATTTGATAAATTGTCCCCCAAAATGGCTGTAGGTTGATTCCACCAGATGTGGAAGGAAGCGCCATGTCATTACAGCTTCCAAAAATGTCTCCTTGCAATAATGCTGGCAGAAAGGCTTGAAAAGGGGGTTTACTGCAGGTCCAGAGAGGCAGTCCCTCTCCTTTCAGCTGGCTATGCTGTATGCATTTTTATTTTCAGTTTATACTGATGGTGGGAATATGCATTCATTGTGGTTTCAAACAGCTGGATTCTGGATTTGAATACAGGCCCACAAAGTTGAAACCAGGCATATTTGTAGTTCTATATAAACTGAATGAATGAAATAATAAATAAATAAACTATACATTGAAGCATGCCCTGACATTTTCAACCCTCTCTTTCTCTATAAAATACTCTTTTGTTGCTATCTGATTTCCTGGTGGTGCTATGTTAACTAATAAAATGCCAAGAAGGCTTAGATATGGCAGTGTTTCCTTCTGGTAAAGAAGCAATAGCTGCACAGCTTTGGAAAGAGCCTGAGGCATTGGACTCAAAACTGTGCTAGGTCAGTGTGTTTGTTAGTGGGAAAAAGAAACAAACACATTTACAGAGTGATATCACCCATACAGCACCCAAATGAATAATCAATGTTAAAATGTTAAGGGAGAAATCATATTTAAGCTATTTCCCCAACCCCCTTTCATCATTCATTACAATCTTTAGCTTCCTGTATTTGAGAACATAATGTTATCATCTGGTTCCAGAAACAATCTGGACACATTTCTTCTTGGAAAACCTTCCCACGCATGTATATTTTGATGTCCTTTATTTCCCAGGCAGTCCGTCAGATCCTACTGAGAGCAACAGAATGCCGTAGCTAGGGATAGCTTGGTGTCCCTCCACCCATCCACTTCCCACCACCATGGCATGAGACTACTTCACGCAGTGTGTTGCAATTTTGAAATATCAGAAAGAGGTTTCAAAATCACGGTTGGGGAAATGTGCATTTTACAGAAAAATCAGCTTCTTAAAGCATTAAAACCAAATTTACAATCCCAAAGATGTCTCAAGACCCAGCCCTCCTTGGCTGACAAGCTGTAGCAGAAGCATCCCTAAAGCCATTCTGCTTGTAAGTCGTGTTAAAAATATTATATGAACAATAGTTCACAATTGAAGGCCTGATTCTGCCATCAGATCCGGGGGGGGAGGGTGGCAGCTTCCACTAATGCAGAGACCCACAGATATAAGTGAGGCTCATTCCACATACTCTGGCTGTCAGAACAGGGAATGAATGGTGTGGGAGGCAGACAAGTAATTTTCATTTCTCTTCTGGCAGAACATACCTCATGTTCACTGATCCATGGTTCATGTTAAAATGATGGATTATTACCTCATTCAATTAAGGGGCTAATAAATGCTTTATTGTTGATTTTTTTCATCTCTATCTTATTCTTTTTAGTGATGATGAATGGGAGATGATTCTTTACTGCCTTGTGCCCAGTGTAGTTGTTTACTCCTGCACAGTGAAGGCAAATGAGTGTAAAATACCACAACATTGGAACCGTGAGGGACAGATGTCTCTGCAAAGAACAGGCTATAAATAGGGGCTGCTAGACTAGGACATCTCCCACAAGGAACTGTTCTTGCTCCATCCCCTGGTTTGGCTCAGGACCTGCTGCTTCCATAGAAGATTGCTTTGCATGGTGAGACTAATTCAGGGGTGGGCAAATACCATGTAGGCTGGATCTGGTTCTCCAGAGTTAGCCCCTGGTGGGCCACTGCCGCTATATTTACCTGCTCCTCTACAGGTCTGGGCAATTGTAACTCCTGTTGGCCATGGATCGACGTTCCCAACCAATGAGAACTATGGAAAGCAGTCTCCTGGTCTGCACCCCTTCCCGCAGCTCCCATTGGCCAGGAATGGCGAACTGAGTCCAACCAGAGCTGCAATCACGCATACCTGTGGATGTGCAGGTAAATATAATGGTGACAGCCACAGGGTTAACCTTGGGGAGCTGCCACCATTTTATTGCCCACCCCGGTCTAATATCACCAAGTAAGGATGAAGAGCAGCCCCCCCCCCAAGGTATGGTGAGGGAGAAGGGGGAGCCCTTCTTCTATACTAAGCAAGAATGGAGATCTGAGCTGGCCAGGACTCCATCTTCAGCTCCTGGTAATATGTCCACCTCTAAATAGATCATTCCCACCTCTCCTCTCATGAATCCCCTAGTTACAAATAGAATCTGCATTTGGTATTCTGATTGTGAGTGTTCTTCCCTGAGCCATGGTAAATGAGCCACCAGAAGAGAAGACGGCGAGTTGTTCTGTGCCCAAGCTGGAAGTATGGAGCACTTGGAAATTCCACAAGACAGGGGTTTATTGTCTCAGATAAAAGGCAAGCTCCACCTACTCCCCTGTTCTACTTGTTCGAGGCTGGCTTGTAGCAGTGTGGCGCTCCTGTGAAGTTTAGCTGTATTGCAAAGTTAAATCGGAAAGCCAAAAGACATTTTGTTGCGAAGGGTTCTTATTTTTAAACCTTATCCTTTTTTTCATATCTTGGCTTTTCCTTTTCCCATTCCTTCCCTCCTTGCTGGTTGTAGATTTGCTAGAAAACTTTAGCTGGGCGGTGATAATGAACAAGCTTAGTAAGCCACATTTTGGGAACTCAGATTGTGAGAGCACTCTATGTCCAAAAAATTACTCAATTTCATTTTTTTGGTAATGCAATAGGGCCTCTGAGACTTGACATAGCTTAGGGCCTCAGCATGTCTTAATCAGCACTAAGTGCTGCATAAGAAAAACACCCC